CTGAAAGATCATGTCGGAACGTAAGGAATAATAGGTTCGGAAAAGGAACAAACCAGGACTACCGTTGAACTGAGCAACTGTTCTATCCTTTGCGCTACCTGGGACTCCCCTCCCGATCCGAATATCTTTTTGAAATGGTATGAAAAGCACCGTTTCAGATTGTGAATTGGTCGCGATACCTGGACGTTTCGCCTCGTGCTGGTGGTGGTCATCTGTCGAGGGACTGCATCACGCTCATTCAACGTCTGTGCTGTGATCGAAACAATCGAATTGGTACTGCGGGAGCACGTGAAGTGATGGACCATCCGTGGTTTCGGGTCAGTACCGTTTCTATGTCCCTTACATAACCCTTGAGTAATTATTGAATAATTGACCACTTTTTTAGGGGATCGATTTCAAAAATCTGCGATCTACCCGTGCTGAATTTATCCCGAGAGTGGAGCATGCCGAGGACACGTCGAATTTCGAAGCGGTTGAGGTGGGAAGAGAAATTTTTTTGTGTCGCTCCCTAAACAATCAATAATCGATCTTTATCGATTCCTGCTTTAGATAACCGAGTCGCCTTTTGAAACCCTCGGCAAGCGGGCGCCCAACAATCCAGCCTTCTACGAGTTCACCTTTCGACATTTCTTCGACACCGACGGCCAAGGTTGTCCAAGTCTGCGACCACCCCAAAAGCGCCCACCGTTGGCCCCTCTGTTCGAGGGCACTTGCTCAGCTCGTCATGAAACTGTCAGCAGCTCAGAGTCGATTGTGATTTGATGGTCAACTAGATATTTTTCATTTCGATTTTTTATCTATGGTTGTATATATTTATAGCCGCCTAGCCGCAAGCAAGCTAAGCTCGCCCAGGATATATGGACATAATGCAAAGGTGAACCATAAATGGGGCACCACGCCTATTCCGGACGAGTTAACCGCGTCCTCTTTGACTCCTGCGACGCTCTTTCCAAATTAATCGATACTCTTTTCCTGATGAGGGAGTTAGTGGGGGAGGGGCAACCAATTATAAGAATGAGTTCCCAGCATGCACTCGGCAAATGTGTAGTGAGCTCGCCATGCAGAACATGGATATCGATTGAGGTCCATAGGTTATCTGAGTATCCCATGCCTAACCGAACCTCACTATCATAGTTCCTCGAGTTGGGAGCCGCGAAGTTTCCATCTAAATCCAGCCGGATATCTGATTGTGAACAGACCACCTCCTAATGGGCGGATCTTCACACAGTCTTATTGGATGGGCGGTGCTTCACGCGAGTTTCCATAGACTACAACATAATGCGGACAGGTGGTGGTTTGATTGGTTGAAAGGTGTCATAACCATTGAGATAGTATATTCCCGAATGACTTAAAGACACCACTCTGTGACAGTCGAGTGGGCGGAGACTCGCAGTCGTTGTGCCGCCAGGTCTCCCTCATTGGTACGCTCCCTCTCCTAGTACTGCAAAGGCAAGGGACATACCAATAAGGAGCAAAAACAACAAAATCAAAAAGGCAAGGGAAAAACCAATAAGGAGAAGGGTAAAGGAAAGCAATGGACGATACGACGGTCGCGGGTCTCCGCCCCCTCGGTGATCGCGGAATGCGTCTTTAAAAAGTTCGGTATATCGATTTTTGAAGGGCTTACCGTATCACTGCGTTTGTAGTAGATCCTTTTGATTTGTTCCTCCATTTCCATTCGGTTACTTGACATGTTCTGCTTGATGCTTCTCCTCCAAGTAATCAACGTCAGCGGTTGTATAATTACAAGTCTGATTGCTACTTAATTGCAGCGATAATTGCCTGGTTAAATGAGATTACACGTTTGAAATTTTATGGTATTAGTTTGAAATTTTACTATGTATTGCGCTCGGAATGACGATTATATTCTCTCAACATTTCCATGGTAGCTACGGTAGATGCGAAACGGGTACCGAATCTCAGGGTTCGATGCGGAATTCTGATATATCTATGCAGAGATTTTCTTCTTCTTCTTCCTTTTCCTATTCCTATCTGTTTTTTTTTTGCTACAAGAAATTCCCACATGATTACCATATACTATTTGATATAGTTAATGATATCTATTTGGTGTATACACTTGTGTAAAGCGAGAAAATGTTGAGCTTGAGGATGATGATAATGATTATGATGAACGCGAACATGAAGATTGATGATGTGTAGAGCGGTTGTGTCATTGTCAATAGAGTGGTATAGACGCTCCCCGTTGCTCAACCAGTTATTATAATTTATTTACATGAATAAACTTTCAAAAATTTGAAATTTTTGGTCTTTTGATACCTCTGCCGATTGCGTTTCGGTGTTTATGCTTGTCGAGAAATGGTTTTCTCGGGGAGAACGTAGTTCAAGTGTTTACGGCGAGCTCTATGTGCCAGAAAATGATTGCCTGCTATGGCAGGATTAAAAGACAGCAAACAGGGTAAGTACAGTATCCCTAGAAATGGCGCGTGAAATTAAAATGTCGGAATTAAAATGTGAAAATGTGTGGTGGACGCACACAAGTGCGCGTACCGTAAGAAATTAGAAGTTCCGGGGTGAGGGAAGTGGGAGCGACGCTAGTCGTGCTTTACATCTTGGCAATGTGCCTCCAAGTGCGACCCGCGTGGCAGCACCTGGAGCTCCCATACGCAGCCTAGGAAACCGTATCCCACGTATATTACCTGAACCCGGATTCGTGATGTCGTGATTCAGTCTTTCGGTATACTCGTGTTACACTTTGAGGCACATTCCATGCTGATTACATGGGCGGGGCCAGACCGAGACACTCTTGCT